CGTGAGGATGAAGCCAAAATGGCTATTACTAGATGCGGTATGTCTCATTTGAATCTGCTGCAAATGTAGACCTTGTTCAAATGGAACTAACTTATTCTGTCTACTTGGTTTAATATTACTCAGGGCAAGACGCAGATATATCTGTGTTAGTTGAGTAAATCTGCCTTTCAGTGGCTGCTGGAGCCAGTTACTATGAGCGTGATGCAAACAACAAGGTATATGTGGTTAAAGTGTTCATCTGACGCAGGAAAATGTTCCTTTAACCTAATGGAGTGACACTAAAACTGTCTTTATAATTCTGCAGGAGGCAGGTTTGGATTGTTGTGGTTCCTCTGTGAGAAGAAAGCGGACAAAGTTCATGGAAAAGAAGAAGATAAATGGGAAGCGATTTGGGGGTGGAGCACGAGAAAGTGGAGGGTCCATAGATGGTAGGCATGAGGAGTCAATGCCTCTCCCAAACCCAATGGCTGGATTCAACTTGCCAAGTGACAGGGTGTCAATGGACAGATTGCTTCCCAAAGAGGCTATTGGACGCCCTTTTCTATTATGAAAATGTGGCTCTTGCTCCAAAAGGTGTCTGGGCAACCATCTCAAGTTTCCTGTATGACATCCAGCCCGAGTTTGTTGATTCAAAGTTCTTCTGCGCTGCTACAAGGAAAAGAGGTTACATACATAACCTCCCAACTGCCAACAGGTCTCCTCTCATTCCCTTGCCACCAAAGACGATACATGATGCCTTCCCTGTACCAAGCAGTGGTAGCCCTCATGGGACACAAGAAGACATTTTAACTGCATCCAAACATGTACAGCTAGCTCAGCGCTGATAGAACGGATTCGTGCTGCTCTTGCAAACTGTGAAGACCCACCATCTCCAGAAGTTCAGAAATATGTCTTCGAACAATGTAAGAAGTGGAATTTGGTTTGGGTTGGTCGACACAGAGTTGCTCCTCTCGAGCCTGAAGAAATAGAGTTTCTGCTTGGTTTTCCAAAGGACGCCAGGGGAATCAGCAGGACCGAGAGGTACAAATCTCTAGGTAACTCGTTCCAAGTACATACAGTTGCGTACCATCTTTCAGTACTAAGGGAGATGTTTCCAGATGGCATGAACGTTCTCTCTTTGTTCTCTGGGATTGGAGGAGCTGAGATAGCTCTGCACAAGCTTGGGATACATATGAAGACAGTGGTCTCTGTTGAGATATCTAAAGTAAACAGGACTATCTTGAAAGCCTGGTGGGATCAAACCCAATCAGGAACATTGATTGAAATCGCTGATGTCAAGGATATAACCGATGATTGGCTTGAGTCAACTATGAGAAAAATAGGTGGGTTCGACTTGGTAATTGGTGGCAGCCCATGCAACAATTTTACTGGGAGCAATCGCTACCACCGTGATGGCTTAGCGGGTGAGCACTCTTTCCTGTTCTACCACTTTCCTAGAATCTTGGGTTGTGTGAAGTCAGTGATGCAGCGGATGCAGTCTTAAGTTATTACTGTACAGAAACAGAAATGCATGCAGCGGCATAGCACCATTTTGGATGGGACCTATTGCCAATTGTTCATCCCTAGGAACTTGAACTCAATATATTGTAGAATCCTACATTGATTTGGAACATGTCTCCTTTGAGATATGACACCCTTCTCCAAGGTTCTATTGCTGAAGAACTGCAGCCTGTTGCTTGACATGGCAAAGTCATTCCCATTTTTCATCAAGTGGCCTATTTGATCTGCCGTGTATCATCTTAAATTTGCAGTACATGCCTAGTGATGCCAGCAAGCCTGGTACCTTCTACCTTTCAAGAGCCACTCCTTTTGCTGAAACCTGGATATGTAATATAAAGATTGTCATAAAATCAAATGCACTTTAATTCATTGTTTGTTAGTTTTGAAGGAAAGCTGGGCAGGATGCCAGGGATCGTCCTTCTTTTGGTGCCTCTAGCATTTACTATTACTCCAGTAGTCTAGTTAGAATGAATGTTTTCCAAAAAATTTTTTTTGCCTTCCAGCCAAAGTAATATTTTTGGTAAGTAACCCAAGGATCCTGATCTGGACTAATACCAAATATCTTAACCTGCCACAATTTAACAAAAGCAGTACTAGGGCACTGTTTATTGCAAGGTCAGATGGATGGCCCATGTGTTCACATGCTGTCTAGGTTTAGCAAAGCTCAGATCTGGGGTCATTCACCTGGACTTAAAAAAAATGGTGTGACAAATATCAGAAAAGGGTGCTTTCCATACTTGTAATGCTTTTTATGCAAGTAACATATTTGGCCCTTTATTGTTAATTCCCGTATAGATCAGTTGGTAACTGATATCCCATAAGATTAGGTGATAAGACCCCATGCCTTTTGTCACTGCGGAATTTACTTATATTCACAAGAACTGTTACTAGTAAAAATCACATCAATCTTGTGTAATCCAATACTGTTGTTCTCATATTTGATGATGCCTGAGAGCATTTGCATAACCCGAATTTATGATGACTAGAATTTCTAGGTGTAGTCTCCATGGGATCTGGGTGGCATACCATCAGGCATCAGCACTATTGAAATTTGGTGTTCTTTCTATCTTTTATACGGTACCGGCAAGTGGAGATCTTAAACCTCTAATCTCTGCTGGTCTCTGCCATTGTGGCTGAGGATGGGTTAAGCGTCGGCAGCTTTGTGGGTCAACCTCCGTGGTGTGTAGATCAATCAAAACATGATTGCCCCTCCAGGGACAGCGCAATGGACCATATGATGTTGATTCCTGCGGCCTGTCTGGGTGGGGGCTTCGTCTCCAATTGGATGAATAGCTTTTTCCAGCGAGCTACTGGATCATGTCACGGTTACAGGTTACTGTTCCCTCGTATTTGCGGAGTGATTGTTGCTGTAGCTAGCTGATATCTCTTCTAATAGAAATGGATCACCTGGTGGAACTGATAGTGATAGGGGAACACGCAGTGAATTACATGTCGCTTGATTTGGCATTGGTTCAGAATTGTTGCGTGTGACACAGTGACAGACGCTGAATGCACGGCTCCATGCTCTTATGAATGAATGAATCATGAAGGATGCACGTTCTCTAATTATATTAGGCTCGAATCGCAATGATGAAATTGTTGCTTGCGTGGTCGTAAAGCCACCTGATTGTGACGGGACGGGGTCCTCCTCCAACTTCGTTGACAGCATCTAACGCGAGCAGATCTGCCGGATGGCGACAGTCTCTTTTCAGTAAGGGCAAACCTATTAATTATGGTATATTATTTTTCTCTCGTAACAAATCAGTCAACCGTACCTTTCAGCCAACGAAATGAACAAGGCCTGGTTGAAGGTTGACATGCGGATACTGCATCTGCAATTCTGCATCTTGAATGGAATTTTTAACTACGGAGCAGCACAGAAACCACTCTCTTTGTATGGTTCCACCGTTCTGCTTGTCCTGGTTAGTACGAGCCAGGGAAATTCATCAAGATTCGTCCCGTGTTTACAATGCCATCCTGCCGAAATTTGGAATTTTCCCGCACCCAATCCGAACTGTCGAAAGAGAAATAATTTGACCTTGACCTTGTTTAGATTGAAAAAAATTTCAATCCGATGAATAGTAGCACTTTCGTCTTATTTGGTAAATATTGTCTAATTGTGGACCAACTAAGCTCAAAAGATTAATCTCGTGATTTTCTAACTAAACTGTGCAATTAATTATTTTTTTACCTACATTTAATGCTCCATGTAAACAGCTAAAAATTGATGTGATGGAAAGAGAGTGAAAAAACTTGGAATTTTGAGGGTATCTAAACAAGGCCCTTGTGCGCAAACAACAAAAGACTTTCCACATTCTACAGCCATCTTTGCCGCGCACGGCGCCGGCGCACCTGCTCTTTTGCTGCCGCGGCAGGAGCTTTCGGTTTCCATCACGGAGAGAGGCGTTTCGCTCTTCCGCACGCTTCCGACCAACCATGCAACTTGAGCTTTCGGCCACAGGACGCGCGTTTCGTTCGTGTAGCAAACAGACAGGCAGACCCGGTCCAGTAATCTTTTCGTGCGCTCCCCAAAAGACTTTCCGGGCGGAGCGGACGAATCAAAGCTGCCGCGCCGTCTGGACTCTGGATTCAGGAGCTAGCACCTTCTTTCCGCAAAAATCTTGCCACTTTTCCATGCGTGCTCGTAAATCATAATGCTAGTGTTAAGCAATCTCTTGAGTAGAGTAGGAGTAATTGATTGGATATACTTTCACTGCCAAAAGATTTAGAAATTAAAAGATTCATGTGTAAAAAAAATTGTAAGATATTCGAGCCATAATTTGGTGTCCAGGAGAAAATGCGCACGGGCAAATGTCCATTTATTATTCCATCCCTGGCTTGGCGACAACAATGGACAGTGGAGGAGTACTCGAGAAAAACATGTCATTGGACTCGAAATACCCAAACAAAGGCTCCTTCTCTGCACAAACCGAACGCCACCAGGCACTTGGCTTACCCGCAGGATGTCGCGTGGGTCCCGTCAGGCTCCGGACCCACCTGCCACGCTAAAACCCGCAGAGACAGTAGCAGTACTTGCCTACTACTCCGTACGCGGCTTACGGAGCCCGAGACGGCGTGAACCCATCCCCACCCGCCGACCCCGGCTCCCGAAACACGCGGCCCCATGCTCCGCGCGTGGAGAGCCCCGTCTTCCACCGTCCGACCTCCATCCGACGCCCGTCCGCGCGCCTTGCTTCGCTCACCTCGCCTAAACGCCATCGTCCGTCCTCGCCCCTCTCTCTCTCTCCTCGGGTCCTTGCTTGGCCTTCCCCTCTCTCTCTCTCTCCTCCCCATCTCAACAAGCTCAACGAAACGCAACGCCTCGCTGCGGAAGTGCTTGTAGTAGTAGTAGCTGCGCCCCGCTCTCGCTCACGAGTCTTAGCACAGTCGCTTCACTGCCAATCCATTGCTCGCTCTCGTCTACACGACCAACCAATCGACGATGGCCGCGGAACCCTAGGAAGGAGCGGCAGCGCGCGGCTCAGCCTTGGCGCTTCGGCATGGGCTCCCTCGACAACGGGGCCGCGGCCGCGGCGGGGAGCTACAAGCGCGGTCCGGGCCCGGCGCTGCGGGCTGGCATCGTCGGCGGCGGCAGCGCGCGGAAGGTGCGGGCGAGATCCAGGCTCGCGCGCTTCCTGCTGCTCGAGAAGGTGGACTATCTCCAGTGGATGGTCGCCGCCGCCGCCTTCTTCTTCGTCGCCATCGTCTTCGTCGCGTTCCTCCCGGGGTCGGGCGTCGTCGTCGAGCGGCCCTGGCTGACGCTCCCCTCGCGCCGCGCGGGACCGGGACGCGTCGGAGGCGGTGGCGGAGGCGGGACTGCTGAGGACCGCGGCGGCCGCGTCCGGTGGGAGGCGGGCGTCGCGTTCGAGTTCGAGCCGACCAGGCTGAGGGAGAAATGGGCGAGGGAGCGGAGGGAGGAGGCCAAGAGCTTGGCGGAGCTCGGGACGCCCGTGACGAGGCTCGGGGTACGGAAGCCGCGGCTTGCCATGGTGAGTACTACTACTGAGGATTGCTGGCGTCGCGTGGGGGAGGATTTGTATGGGTTGGGGATTGGCTTTTTGCCATGTGGTTTCTGATTTTTCTCGCCGCTCGCGGTTGAGCTTTCCGCAGGTGTTCGGTGACCTGTATCCCAGCGCAATGCAGCTTCAGATGGTTAGCGTCGCCTCGGTGCTGGAGGCCATGGGCTACGAAATGAAGGTGCGTCACTGAAATGCTGTCTCCTGAACCATAGGCTAGCAATTTACTTGTTGCTCGTCAGACAAGTTAGTGGAGACACTGCATTGATTGAGTGCAACGCGTGCCCTTGTGTTTGTTTTGTTAGATTTTGCTTCTAACAGTGGTTGTGAAAAAACTGGACATGACTTCATGGTTAAGCTGGGCTGCTGTCCTTAATCGTCAATATTTTGGAGCAAGTTGGGTTGCCAACTTGCCATGTATGATGTATGCACCTATTCAGTAATGCATGAGCCTCGTTGTTGGTTTCTGTGTTCTAGTTTCTACTTTTTAGAGAGTACAAGGAAGATACACAAAGCTAACTGTGAGGTTACGTCAATTGACTCGTGGCAGTTAAATGCTCTGCAGTTTGGTGTCCTCATGTTGAAGTAATGTAATGCAGATTGTATTTTGCTAGGTTTGTGTCAGTGCAGTTTCTGTGGTATGGAAAAAATTCAAGGGCTAAATTGGAGGTGCAATCCTTTTCGCTGAATTTGCTTCCTCTCCTATGTTTTGTCCTGAGAGTTGCTTCCTCTACTAAGTTCCTGTCAGAACTTGGAAGCATATTGGTATCCAGATTGATCAGCTTTGCCTCTTTGGTGTATGGTCTTCTGTGCTAAAATGTGCAAAGAACTGGTAGTTTTACCCTTTTTGTGTGTAATATAAAATGTTACCTGCAGAGGTTGTTAATTAGCAACATTTTTAGACTTCCATATTACCAAGAAACATAATGAGCCTCATCAAAATAAGATTCAGCATATCTAATGTACTTAACCAAGATGCTGGCATGTTGCTTTGTTTGTATTAACTTCTTGACGTATGCACATAATTTTTTGATAATGATACTTGGAGTATTGCCCTTTTACACAGTATGCTGCTAAGTTTGGCCAATGACTCAACTTATGCTGTATCACCTTTTTTTTTTGGCTCTTTCTGACTTGACCGTCTGTACTTGTTTTTGGTGAGATGCTAGTGTTGCTAGTTTCGATACTATTACTAGATCCTAGTATCTGAGTTAAGGTTTCCTATATATATATATAATTTTTTTTCTTAGTCATTATCATGTATATCCAAATACTTTCTCTAAACTGCTGCCTTTAATTTCCTTTACAAAATGTCAATTCAGGTTTTCTCACTTGAGGATGGCCCATGTGGTAACATCTGGAGAGCCATTGGAGTACCAGTGAGCATACTACCTGAGGACACAAACTTACCTATTTTTGTAGATTGGTTAGAGTAAGTTTCAGAAGCTATCTCTCCTGTCGTTTTCTTCTTAGTTACTGTATATTGTGTTCCGTCCTGCTTTTACTGATAAGATATGTGGCCTCAGCCTCACTTTCTAATTATTTCCTCATCAGGTTTATTTGCATTATTTCTGCAGCTATGATGGCATACTTGTCAATTCTATTGAGGCAAGACCAGTATTCTCAAGGTAGCATTAGATAACTAGAATTGTATGACCATAGTTTGTTCTGGTTGAAATTGATAGAATACTTTCTCAAAGTCAGATGTTTGATTTGGACCATGTGTCTGTGCCTTCCTACAGTCTTCTGCACGAGCCTTTCAAATCCATACCTATCATTTGGACTGTGCATGAATATTCTCTTGCACATCGTGCTAAAGAATATAATGCGAGTGGAATGGTTCAGCTCATAAATGCTTGGAAAGATGTATTCAGCAGGGCAAATGTTATAGTTTTCCCAAACTATATATTACCGGTATTTACTTCTGATCTGATTGTGATTTCAACAATCATTGAGTCATTGTCATATAGATGAAGATCCTCTGACCTAAAATTATAATTAAATATTTCCCTGCAGGTGATGTATGCTGCATTTGATTCTGGTAACTATTTCGTGATTCCAGGCCCCCCCTCAGAAGCATTTCAGGTTGACAGCTTTATTGGTAAAAGTTACCATGAAGATGTGAGGATCAGCTTGGGCTCGAGTCCCAAAGATTTTTTAATTGCTATTGTTGGTAGTCCATTTTCATATGGTGATAATTTGATGGAAGAGGCGCTTGTCTTGCAAGCAGTAAGTCCTTTGTTACAGAGATATCACTCTGAGAATAGCACACAATCTGAACTGAAAGTAAAGATCTTCACTGGGAACATAACTGAGAAGCATAGGATGGCCCTTGAGGTTATTATTCTCATGCCCTGTCTGATCATGTGAACTGTTATTTACAGTCTGATTGCTTTAAATTGTATCTAACCGTGTATTAGTTTTCTGGTTCATGATAGTCTGTTGCTCTAAGTGTTGGCTTCCCAAGAGGTGCAGTGGAGCATGTTGCTGCTGAAGATAAGGACAACCTCCTTAGTACAGCTGACCTTGTTATATATTATTCTTGTCTCGAGGAGCAATTATTCCCAGTGTGCTAGTCCAAGCTATGAGTCTTGAGAAGCTGGTTATAGCTCCAGACCTTGCAATTATTAGAAAACATGTATGTTCGTGATGGCACCTCATATTAGATTGTGATTCATCTCTAGTTTCAAATACTGATGACTGCGTATAGTATTCTAAATAAACTAACATGGTTGTCATATGGCATAGATCGATGATGGAGTAAACGGACTTCTGTTTCCAAGAAAGAATATTGGCATGTTAGCTCAAGTTCTTCTTCGAGCAGTGTCGAATGGTAAAGTGTCTGTTTCAGGGCAAAAAATTGCTTCAGCTGGGAAGGCCCATGCCAAGAATCTTATGGCTTCTGAGACCATTGAAGGCTATGCTGTGCTATTGGAAAATATTGTCAAGTTCCCCACTGATGCACTGAGTCCTTTAACTGCTGGTGAGATACCTTTAGCTCTGAAACAGGAGTGGAAATGGCACCTATTCGAGGATGTGAAGCATTTACACCGTATGAATACAAGTTTGTCTGGCTACAAGATACTCCAGAAACTAGAGCAGGAGTGGCATAGAAACCAAATGAAAAACTCTTCTTTGAGTACAACAAAGACCAGTGACGCATTCTCTGCAATTGCCTGGGAGGAACAGAGAGCAAATGAGGTTATGGACATCAAAAGAAAAATGGAGGAAGACGAGGTAAAATGCAAATGTTTCATATTCAGCAATAGTTTGCATAGTCATTCATTATTTCTCTCTCTTTCTTTTTTTTTAAAAAATGCATTGAAGTAAGTAACTGGAGTTGATTGTTATGTAGTTGAAGGACAGGAATGACCAACTGCATGGAACATGGGAGGAGGTGTACAGAAATGTGAAAAGGGTAGAGAGGTTAAAAAATGAATTGCATGAAAGAGATGACAAGGAGCTTGAGCGGACAGGTCAGCCACTTTGTATATATGAGCCTTTCTTTGGGGAGGGGACCTGGCCCTTTCTGCAACAGAGCTCTCTTTATCGTGGAGTTGGCCTGGTAAGCTGTTGTTACCACTAAGCACAATAAATAATTGTGGTCAGCTTGAATCTTCCAAAGATGCGTTTAGACAATTCTGATGTTATAAACTCAGTTGACAGACAATTCTAACATTGAGGATATGAGCTATAAACACATAGATTAACAAAATTTTGCAAATTCAAAGATTTTAACTGGTCCTTCTTAAAATATTTCGAGTAATACATTCCACTACATGCTAAGGGACTCTTCAAATTCTGGTCTAATAATTTTTTTTGCTTAGATAAGCCTTTGATGAATGGTATATGAATATAGCAATAATTTTGTAATTGAACTCCTCTTGAGGTATTTTAGGTGATGATGTGTAAACTCCCATGTGTGTCATTGGATGATACTCCCTCCATCCCAAATTATAGGTTGTTTTGGCTTTTCTAGGTACATAGCTTTTGCTACTCCCTCCATCCCAAATTATAGGTTGTTTTGGCTTTTCTAGGTACATAGCTTTTGCTATGCACCTAGATATACACTATGTCTAGATATATAGTAAAGCCAAAACGACCTATAATTTGGAATGGAGGGAGTATTTGAGTGGTACAGATTTATAATCAGCCAAGAAGGCAGAATACCACCTGATTTCTCAATCATTGGTGGTGGAGTCCATCACTCTTATATGGTGCCCTCTACCCCTTTCAAAACCTGATCCATCCAAACTACATCCAAGAATCCACTTGGTGAATTCATGATTTAGCACCCAAAAATTGATTTGCACTAGATATTTTACCTTTGCTGAAATTGGCATAGTTACTGATGACTGGTTATGTTTGGGAAAAATAGTTGCTAAAACTATAATAAGCATAATTACTACTACCAGTGGAACAGATATGGCATTAAGAAGAATAACATATGGTATAGCTTTGCAAATATTTTGATGGATAATGTTGATAATTTACTTCTCTCTTTCGTTAGTCTTCAAAAGGTCGAAGACCAGGAGCGGATGATATTGATGCTTCTTCTCGTCTTCCTCTTCTCAATAATGTCTACTACAGAGATATTCTTGGTGAATTTGGAGCTTTCTTTGCTCTTGCCAACAGAATTGACAGAATACATAAAAATTCTTGGATAGGGTTTCAGTCCTGGAGAGCTACAGCAAGAAAGGTAACGATCAAGTATGTTTATTTTCCTTTTTTTTCCTCGAGCACACAGGAGAGCAGAGTGTCATTATATTAAGAAGAGAAAGACCCCTAAAGGGGAATGACCAGTACAGCAGAAATCACCAAAAAGAAACTAAGAAACGACCAAAGACCAACAAACCAGTCATGGGCATATATGCTACGGAGCTCTTTCTTCTTTTCTTTAATGTCTTTTTTGTTAGGTACCATGGATTTCATGAATCTGATTGATAACATGATGAGTAGGCAAGTGTTTCTTGTAAGAAACGTGTGCATTGAGTGCAGTGAGAACAATCCACATTGTCTTCCAGAACAATTGACATCTTATTTGTACTGAGTAGCTGTTTCCCTGAACAGGTAAACTTGTCAAACAATGCTGAATCTGCAATCTTAGAAGCCGTTCAATCTCAAAAGCATGGAGATTCCTTTTATTTTTGGGTTCGGATGGATCAAGATCCAAGAAACCGCACTAACAAAGATTTTTGGTCCTTCTGTGATGCGATCAATGCTGGGAACTGCAGGTTAGCCAGATAAATGTGTTTCATGTGTTGAATTAATTTTCAACTCTGCAAATGTAATGGTCTGAGCAAATTTGTGTCAATTTTTTTTTGTTTATTTTTAGTCCCTTGTTGGATTTCATTTCTAGCCTACCCCAACTTTGCTTGGGAACAAAGCACCTTGTTGCTACTGCTGCACATAGTCAATTCTTTGAAGAATCATCAAACATTTACTGAGCAATCATTTAAAGGATTTTATGTTCTTTTCTTTTACAGTACTCCCCCCGTTTCAAAGTATAAGTTGTTTTAGTTTTGTCCGAAGTCAAATTTGTCTCACTTTGACCAAGTTTATAGACCAAATGTATAAACATCTACAATATCAAATAAATGCACTATCAAAATATACTTCATGGTGTCTCTGGTAAATCTTATTTGATGTTGTAGATGTTTGTGTATTTTTCTATAAACTTGATGAAAGCTTGAGAAGTTTGACTTTGGGCAAAGCTAAAACGATTTACTGTTTGGGACAAAGGGAGTAGTCATTTAAGGTTTTTGTACTCTGGGTTCTTCAGTGCGACAGTGCCTATTTCAGTTTATCGTCGTTACAGAACTACGAGATCTGTTACGTTAATATACGCTACATATATGGTATATATGGGTATGACCATCCTAACTAATGTAATCAGCTTTGTGTTATATGCTTTTCAATGGTATTGTCATAGTGGTTTTTATTCTGTTACAATGAAACTAATCTACTCTGCACTCGTACCTCAAAGGTTAGCTGTTTTGGAGGCCTTCCAAAGGATGTATGGTGTACATCTTGATCATGACCTGGATTCTCTGTTACATATGCCTAATGATGGAGACACATGGTCTGTGATGCAAAGTTGGGTTTTGTCTACACGGTCATTCCTAGAATTTGTTATGTTTTCAAGGTATGGGTTATGTTTTTGGAATCTTACTGACAATCAAGTGAGTGTTATTACATGTATAGCTAGATAAAATATGTATGGACTGGTTTATTATCTGATTCGCTTCTCTTATAATCTGTACTTTTCAGCTTGTTTTTTCAGCCAGAACAGTGTTTTCTCTCACAACAAATCAGTCAGAACAGTGTTTTGGCTTGTTTTTTCAGCGAAACGAACGGGGTATATCAAACATACTGTGAATGAGCACCTGGATGTAGCTGATCTAAGCATATTTGTGTCTGCATTGCTAGCAGTATATTGCTAATGATTATTTGGGGTTGTGTACTTTGTGGAAAATTACCTGTTAAAGCAAAGCCTTGCTTTAATTGACTCAGGGTCCAAAAGAGGATTAGTTCTCAACTAGTATCTGGTCATTTGATCATTTCAAAGGATTATGTTGCTATAACAGGCATCCTAGATGTTAATCAACATGGACAAAGTCTTTTTGGTCGCTATTTGCTTGCTTGCTTGCATTGTTCTGTGTTCATTCCTTTTACCTGATAGGACTATCATACCATAGAAATTCAGGCTTTTCTATATGCTTCATTAGTGTTTACAGTATGCTGTTGCTTTTCAGAATGTTTGTTGATGCATTGGATGCACAAATGTATGACAAACACCATCAAACTGGGCATTGCATCTTGAGTCTCCACAAGGTGATCCCTTTGCCACATCTTTAGATAACATTGATTATTTTTCAAATCCTGTCCCAGGGCAATAGATTTTTCTGAAGATAGAATAATCTATAGTGTGAAATGTATTCCCTAGCTATAAGAATCGAGATCATTACCATGTCGATATACATGGTTTGCCCTCATGTGCTTAGAAAAGAAAAGAATAGAAACTCACCATCCACGTCTCCCTTTTAATGATGTCATGTGTATGTGCAGCTTTCACTAGATGCTTGTGGTTAATTTATAGTGAAGCTATCAGAAGAAGTTGTTCCTTTGACATTTTTTTTTTATTTTGTACAGGATCAGCACTGCTATTCTCGCGTCTTGGAGTTGATTGTGAATGTTTGGGCATTCCACAGTGCACGGCGGATGGTCTATGTTAATCCTGAGACTGGTGCAATGCAGGAGCAGCACCATCTCAGTGGCAGGAGAGGTCAAATGTCAGTGCAGTTTTTCTCCTACACCACTCTAAAGAGCATGGACGAGGAGCTTGCAGAAGAGTTTGACTTGGATCACCCGGACAGGAGGTGGCTCTGGCCACAAACTGGAGAGGTCTTCTGGCAGGGTCTCTATGAGAGGGAGCGGAGCATGCGGCAGCAGGAGAAGGAGCGGAGAAAGCAGAAGAGCAGAGAGAAGATCCAGAGAATCAAGAATAGAGCTCGGCAAAAGACGTTGGGGAAGTATATAAAGCCACCGCCTGATGATACAGGTGGCTCGAATGATACAACAACAGTAGATTTGTAGCATTTTGACCATACTTGGGGTGATGATTCTTACCGCGGGAAATTTTGTTCATTCTTTCGTCGTTACGGGTAATGTCCTCAGTCCTCACTGACTACTACTGGACGGGTGTGAATATTTTTGGGTCAGTTTTGTCGTGCCCCCTGGTGTTCTGGGTGCTTTACAGGCGACGTTGTAACATATATCTAGCCCATTGAGTTGTCAAGTTGCCATCTTAGGTGTAAATTTGAGCACCCGTAGCGTTAGGTGTTTTTCTTCTTTTCGCTTAAGCTTCTCTATAACAGAACAGCTGCTCTGCTTTTGCAGTCTCGGTACAAATTGAGTTGACTGATGGTCCTGCGCTATTGTCTACTTTCGGTATTGACAATTTTGCTCTACATCCTGTAAAACCTGTTATATCTTCAATTTTTGCGGTGCCCTGCATTAGAAAACTCTGCTCTTATGAACCAAATCCTCACCGCACTTGAACATCGATGGGCAGTTCTATAGCCTGGGAACAGCCAAAAGTGGTTCATCGGAACGGGTCCCAGAGCCATCAACTGGGAGATAGTTCAACACAAGGATCATTGTGCTAAGCATGTAAACTTGTGTTTGGTTCATGAGTTCATCCTATGAATTTTGGTAATCACCCATTCCAAATGCATATACTAATTATTAGCTTGATGAGTAATAAGGTGGTGATGAACCCATTCCATTTCACCAACCAAACCAAAAAAAAGGGTAAAATGTGAAGAAAATAGATCACCTTATTCCTCAAACCAAACGCACCATTTGTGAGCGTGACATGGTATGGGGTGCCTTTCAAAAATTACTATACTCACCAGAATAAGCAGCTAAATGAACATTATATTTCAGCCTAAAGCAAGCAAATTGCTCTTAAATCAAGTCCAAGCATGAGCATTAAAGTAACTGATTAAATGCACTGAAACAAGAGGATTACTCTAGCCACAACCACATTAAGTAATTACAATAACACACAATACATCTGCTCTAAGAGCTACCCTCTTATTTTCACAGTACACGTCCGGATAGATCCTATGCAACCCGAGCATGAGCAACACAATTGGAGGAATCTGAAAGGCTGACTCAGTCCATCACAGCACAAACTTGGGAACTGATCAAAACTGTAGGCAATCAATTTCTTGGAGAACCTGATAGCCTCACATCCACACCACCTTTGTGCCCGGAGCACAATTCTGAGCCACCATTACTTGTTCTGCTTCCGGCCCGCGAAAGTAAAGCCAACAGCCCACCACCATGAACTCTGCCCTCTGGCAGTGGATCGACCATACACTGAGCCAGGACAGGAGGATGAACACCACTATTTGGAACAGAGCTACCCGGATCCAGTAAAATTTTATCACCATTGATCTTCTCGCGTGGATCTCCCTTCACTGAAGCAGCATTCATCTCAGTAGGTTTGACATCCACCGCAAACTGGTAGATAGCAGAACCTAATGTACCACCACCATGAACACAGTGGTCCTGGACTAAAGCGCTGTGAGCTGAGCAGAGATCAATCTTGCTCCGAACAAATCTATCGCATTGCTGTGCACCAGCACCAAAGCTTGTGTCCGCCTGGCCCCATGAGCATCGTTTACCTCCCCCATGAGCCTTGCAGAAATCAGTGCTCCCCTGCGCACTCTTGGTGCAGCCCTCAAACTTGCACCTCTTGCCACCTCCATGGCGCACACAATACTCTGTGCGCCCTCTAGCGCTCTTAGTGCAGCCATGGCTAGCACACCTTTTCCCACCACCATGGGCAACACAAAACTGAGTGCCACCATGCACACTCTTTGGGCACACACCGCCACCCTGAAAGGCGCAGCGCTTGCCTCCACCATGGCCCTTACAGAATGAAGTGCTACCTTCAGCCCCTCTGGTGCATCCAAAGAATGTGCAGCGCTTTCCTCCACCATGTGCCTTGCAGAACTTTGTGCTTCCCTGAGCACCCTTTGTGCAGTCTGGAAACTGGCACCGCCTTCCACCACCATGGGCAATGCAAAGTCCAGAATGACCTTCTGCACTTTTGGTACAGTTCTCCTTCTGACACCTTTTGCCACCACCATGCTTGATACACAAGCCAGACTTTCCACGAGCAGCTCGGGAGCAACCTTCATGACTGCACCGACGGCCACCACCATGAGCTATGCAGTGGTCTGTGCGCCCTTCAGCACTCTTTGTACACCCAAGAAACTGACATCTCCTGCCTCCACCATGGGCCTTGCAATAGATTGTCATCCCTTCAGCGCCCTTTTGACAACCAGGTTTCTGGCAACGCCTACCACCACCATGGGCTATGCAACGCCCTGATGCCCCTCTTGCTCCTTTCATACATCCTGGAGACTGGCAGTTTTTTGTGTTATTGTTGCATAGTTGGGAATTAGTTGTCTCAGAAGTAGAGGCAACTGGACTTTTCACACTTGTAAACATAGTTGATGACATGACAGAAGGCACAGAGGCATTGCCTCCATTGGTTTTCTTTAATAATGGAAAGGCATATGTTGCTTCAGAAGCATATGATGATGAAACAATCGAATACTCAAAACCCCAGCTAGGTGGTACTGATCCTTCTTCTACAGTGGCGGGTGGCGAATTGGTCGTCAGCATCACCAAGCCATCTGGTGGCATCATATTTGCATCAATGACAACTGATTCGGGTGAACCGGTAGATAAACTCAACTGAAGATCCAGCTTAGGAGAGTTTGTCGAGAGCACATTTTCAAAACCAGCATGGGATTTCTGTCGGCAGTGTACAATATCGTTGCCAATATGAAACCCAAGGTTAAGGCCAAGATCTACTGAAGATTCCTCATCAATTTCCTTTAATAAAGATGAAGATGTTATGCAAGCGGTGCCAGAACTTAGCTTGCTGTTATCAGATGAACTTGGTGAGCGGCCTAAACCCAAAGTGAGTAAAGGGTTTCCAGTACCTTTTGCTCCAGACATAGCACCTTGCTTCCCTTTTGACGCTTTTGAGTTGGAAATAAAAAGGCTGGAATATGCCTCTGGTGTACTATCTTTGTGCACAGTCGTGTCTTGAGTTGTGCTCCAATAGCAATATGGCTTCAAGGAGTTGATACCACCACTAAACTCAAGGCCTCCAGTAGTTGTGTCCATTCCAATTGTGGAACATCAAATGCAAACCGACTAGAAAACAAAAAGAAACAATTTCCTGCCTTCTGGATATCATAACTCTGTTATATATACTGGGTTAGAAAGTCAGGACTCATAGCAACCTCCACTGACGAAACCAGCTATATCATCACGGTCCATGTCTATCCACTTTCTGTGTATGAAAGGATATAATGAAGTAGTGAACTTGGCCTCAGTTTTTAGGTGCAAAGTTCCAGTTGTGGCATTCAGACCATATGAGCTCTAATCTGCTGGTCAAGCAAAATTCAGTCAGTCACAATTACTAAGATCATGCAACAAGAGGACTAGAAAGAGGTCTCCAACTAGCCAGTTAACATCATAGGATAAAATAATAAAGGAAAAGAAGACCAGTGTCCAAACAGTACGAGAATCTAGTAAAATTAGAAATTATGGGTCTCTGTCAAGATTGGTATATCCTAGAATGAAACCTCACAATTATGGCTCAATAAGCAGTCAAATACTCAAATATACTGCCCACTTAATATCCAAACATAGACCTTACCTATAGAGAACCTTTGGATTTTTCTAAAAACATAGAGAACCTTTGATTATTAAAAAAAACAAAAGCTAAAAAAGTAGACCAACCTAGGAGGAAGAGGAACTAGGCCACTTTATATTATATAAGACACAAATTAACCTGGCCAAGCGTCCATCCACACCCTCAACCAAATGATCTATACTCAGCTTCCTCTCAAAAACAAAACTAGTGTTAATAAACATAAGAGTCTGCTCCATATCATGATAAACCCAGTGGGCCTGATCAGCTATGCTTATTCTGCTGTAGCTGCAGTTGCTGCTGCTACACGAATGCAGTGCACTCCACAGGGACAAGATCTCTGCAGCAGCAGCTGCAGGTGCAGCCAAATTAAGTGCAGCCGATCAGGGTTAGATTTGGACATTGCAGCCTGTATGCTTAACTCTAACAGTCAACTACTAGTTTTTGTAACCACACATTGCCAAAATATTGTACATCAATGTAATGGAAGTTTTTTTCTGACAACTTTGCAAGTCTAACGGTAGCACTTTCATGCAACACTTGTAGATGAACAAGTAAAATTAGAGTTTGTAGCTATATTTTAGGTTAAGGACAAGGGTCTTGGCAAACACCATCTCCCTGAGGGAAATTTTAGCCCATACTTCAGGTTCATATATAATAAGAAATACTCCCTCCGGTCCAGTTTATAAGGCATTTCGTGTATGACCAATAATTTGGCCAATATTTTTTAACTACTGTAATACAAATATGATACTATTAGATTTGTAATCAAATGTACTACCCAAAAATCATAAGTTAATCATACACAATATAATACAACATAAATGAATGATCTAAGTATAATTTAGGAGACCATGCCATGTCATACTACGCCTTATAAACCGAACTGGAGGGAGTGATGATTAAGAAACAATACACCTAATAATGAGCAGTAGTAAAACATAAAGGTTATTAATTAGGACTAAGTAATTAAAGGTATCAAAGATTATGAATGGTACCAAATAAAGCAGGGCCCTCTACAGGTATGAGAAGGAAGAAAATCCAGTATCAAGTTATCAACAATGTCCTGCCAAAACAGAGCAGTCTTTATAAGATTTTGATTATCAGATAGAGAATTGAATCATATTAAGCATCAAACTTCTCTTAATAATCTATTTGTAGTGAATAAGAAGGGACAAATTGGCTAACTTGCTAGCCTCATGATACACAGCATAGAGGAAATAGCTCAACACAGAAGAAAATATCTAAGCTAAATTTTAAATACCAACCACAGCTAATTACAAGAATACTAAGTCTTAGAGACCCATTTAGATCAAATTGATCAGCTATTTATTTATTTTTTTCAGTCTGATACATATATTATATCCATTTCCCCTTAATGCTCCAGTACGCTTGTTTCTACAGAAAAAGAAAATATACCCTCGAAACAATTTAACCCACCATGCCTTAGCATTACCCGCCTGTTTGAATTGCTCTCCACTCTCCAGGCATCGATCCTGGGCGTTCATTTTCGAGCACCTGGGGTGAGATCGATGTGCCTGGGAGATGAGCTGCCTGCGAGGCTTCGAACCAAACAGCCCCTACATGCTGCTAGCTTGGATCACTTTGTGTCTTGAAGATTTTATTGGTTAAAAGATATGCTGCGTTGACAAGTTGCTAAAAATGCCATCCCTAAGACTACACCAAACTCATTAAAGAAAACTAAGAACTTTTTAGCAATTCATCCCACGTAAATTAATCAGGTACTCCCTCCATTCCAAATTGTAAGTTGTTCTTATTTTTCTAGATACATTGCTTTTAATATTCATTTAGATATAATGTATATCTGGATGCGTAGCAAAACTTTGTGGCGAACTTATACTATGGTAGCATAAGATGCATACAGATTTATAGTAAAAATTTATGAGAAAACAGTAATGAATGTATATGGCCATTTGCCTCAAAGGTTATACCCCCTATGAAAACGGAATATACAGATACAAAAATGGTTACGTTATTATCCAATAATTGCTACCAGGGGAGTGTTATCACTGTTCTACGGCAGGAATCTAACATTACGTACAGCAAATCAGCAATCGAACGAACGAGGAACACTCGACAAAATGATAGAGTAAAAATGTCCAGTGAAAAGGTCTTCAAATCACCGTTGAAAAAAAAAGAGGTCCTCAAATTTGATCAAGTTAACACATGCGACCAAAAAAGAGAGAGACGAATCTGACGTAATAGCCGTCACGAAATCAAATGGATTAAAAGCGTCCGACCGGTACGGAGCAAGCAATCTGTATCCGACGACTAGAAAAGGAGCAGACCAACAAATTGAATGGTGAGACCTCGTATCGCCAGATTGCGGATTGCCCACCCTGAACAGACTTTGCACAGAAGGGGCAATAATAAATATAAATAAAATCACATCATGCCGCAGGGAGGAGAGAGAGACCCGCCTACGCCAAATTGCCCATTTTTTCCCTTTATATTGCCAATCGAACCCAGAACAGTGGTACGAGTTCGTCTATCACAAATCACACGAAACCTGAAAACGGAAAGCTCACCTCGCCCTTGCGGCGAGGAACAGATGGCGCGCTACAGTGGTCTGACGAATCAAACAAGGAGCACAGAAGCTTCCCAAACGAGCTATGCACGCACGCACGAACGCAGAGTCGAGGCCACAACCGACCGCAAACTCCTAAACCGCGCGCACCGGCGGCCCAGAGGCAACACGCATCAACAGCGCGAGAGGGGGGAATTGGACAGCGGACGCACCTGGACGACGACGAGAGAAGCGAGCTGCCTCTGCCCGGCCCGGCCCCCGGCACGATCCAAATGGAGCGCCGACCGAGTCGCTAGGGTTTTTGAGGCCGTTGCGCGCGAGCGACAGAGGGGAGAGAGAGAGACCCGCCGCCGGGAACAGCGCCCACGAGGCACGGCTTTGTGGTAGGAGAGACGACAGGGAGAGGAGCGGTGGTGGGAAGCGCAGAGGAGAGGAGGAAACCAGAGAACGCAAGCGAGGTTCTAAAAAAGGAGATGATGGGGCGCAGGCGCGCAGCAAATCGCTGAGGCCACCACCACACACGCACACACGACACCTGCACATGCATCGGGTTGCCACCTGTCGTCCAGGTGCAATCGTCGATCCTCTGTATAGTGCCATTAACCTGGATGGATTATAATGTAGTGACACGCTATAACGGTGGTTCTTAGGGCTGTTTGAAACGAGGAATGGAATGGCCAAACAGCGGCGGAGGGTGGATCAAAAGCAAGGAGGGGCTGATTGTAAAAACTATTGTTGTATTAGCTAAGTGCAGAAACTATAACTATATTTTATATAGGCTATCAAAACTAAGATTTACACTACCAAAACTAATGGTGTCACAGAGGAAGGTGGGGCGGAGGCCTAGTTTCGCCTCCATGAGCCTCCGCTCCTGTGGCCAAATGAGCTCAGTTAATCCAAGGGAAGCAAAGAAAGTCCAATGGAGAACAAAAATGATGTTTCACAACTTTTTTTTTATTTACAAATATTATTAATATTAGATGAATAGATCCCACCTTTTACATGGATGCGGATCAAAAATAAAATAATGTAAGCATGTCTGCATTCATTTTTCTTCACCTCTAATAGCAAACTCTAGCGTTATCGCTCAAAATGTCAATTAAGCATGAGCCAAAATTTATTTCTACATCCTCTAATCTATATCTATATCCAATAAAATTAAAAGGATAAGTAAACAATAGTACCATGTACTAGGAGTATATGATTTGTTTGGGAATCCACCTCTATCTATCCAGCAGCAACGGCATAGGACAAGGCGGCAGATCCATTGAACCTGCCCGCGTTTCCATCTTGATCGTCACCCACCGGGGGCTGCAGCCGTGCAGCGGCAGCAGCGGCGTCACCCAGGATTGGGATTGGGACGATGGCTGGGTGACGCTAGTACTTTATCCCTCCGGAGCCACCGAACCAGACGCAAAAAAAGGGCCGTCGAGCAGCCGCGTGTGCCGATGACAGCACAGCGCCGCGGGGCCCGATCCACCGGTGGACCCACGTGCCAGACGGAACACGGCAAGTAGCCACGCCGCGCGATGCGCGAGGGTCCAGGGGCCCCGCGTGAGCGGCCGCGGCTCGCCACCGTCCGTGGTGCGGTGCCGGTGCTGGTGCCGGTGCCGCCTGGCCTGTATTTTGTTTTGTTTTCCGCTTTGGCCTTGTTGCACGTTTGTCCACTGTTAGTCCTGTGCGCCGTGTCCCGGATGAGTGGACACGCCCTCGTGCCTCACCACCAAAAATGCATCAGCAACATAGAGAACATAGCGTGTTGAATGTTCACCGATAAACAATCATATCATATACGTGACGCTCGAAATGTTACCAGCTGATTTTAGGAGTGCATTGTCATACATATGGGTGTTTCTAGGTTAATTCCGTGAAGTGACTTTCTTAAAATAAATAAATCAAGGCTTCAAAGCCCGAGCTTTT